GCTTCGACAGCTCCCGCATGGAAGCATCAGCATAAGCGGGGGGAGGCCGACGCACCCGAAGTTGCGGCACGGCGCGCAAGCTCCAGCACCAGCACTCGAGAAGCCTCGCGCCTGGAGAGCCTGCAGGGCGAACGCTGCCACCGGCCGGCACGGGCCAGATGGCGCCAAGGGTGAGCGGGAGAGGGGAGAGGGGGAAGGAAGGAGGCGAGGCGAGGAGAAGGGAAGAGAAGGGAGTGCCAGAGCTGGCATGGCGCACACCTGGCACTACACTGTGCTGACCCCGCGAGCGTGCGCGATCGGCCTCGCGGCAGGGACAGAGCCGGAGCTCGATGACGGAACTCCGAACAACAGAAAATTAATGTCACGGGCGCGGTGCGTCACGGACTCGGTGCATGACGGCACTCCGACACACCAAAATCGAACTGTTACGGAGCAGGTGCGTCACGGACTTGGTGAATTGCGGCACTCCGAGAATGGGCTACGGAGCGAAGCACTTAAATGTATACCGCAGGCATTTCATTGCATGCAGCTGTATACACGGGATTATACCGAGGCGGATCTGCACCCCCTCTCGGACGCGGCGATGAACTACCGGTCGAAACACTTAAATATGTACCGCGGGCGTCGTCTTGCAGCCTTGCATGTACCTGTATACACGGGATTATACCGAGTGATATCTGCAGAGAAACAACATCTAAAAGTCACGGCGAAGAAGAAGAAGGAGGGAGGCGAGAAAACGGAAAGAAAGGTGGAAGGAGGGACAGCGAGGAAGAGGGAGGACAATTATTTCCAGTGAAGGCGCTTTACGCATGTAGGTGACGGGCGACGGATCGGAACAACCGCCCGGATTCCCAACCCGGGCGGGCGCGTTCCATGACATCGGCTCGGAAAAAGACCCCGCCCACGGTGCAAGACGCAACGAGGTGTCACAAAAATCACTGCGAAGATGGCGCCATCCGGCCGTCCAAAGTCAAGCGCGCACGCAGGCGCAAGCGAGGAGTAGCGGCGGGAGGATAGGGGAGGGGGAAAAGAGAGAGAGAGAGAGAGATGGAGAGAGAAAGAGAGAGAGAGAGAGACAGAGACACGGAGACAGCTAGCTGGCCCAGCTTCCGTCTGGGCGCCGCTGCCGGAACGCCGCATACGATGGCTTCGTGCGTCCGACGCAGCGCGCAGACTACCGCGATGGCCCTGGCCGCCGCCGCAGCAGCAGGCGCTCGGTGCGGCCCCTCGGCGTGCAGGGCGATGCCCAGGAGATCCTCGAGGCGCCCAGCCGGAGGGGGCTTGCGCAGATTCAGCCTCCGGCGCAAGACCAGGGAACCTCCCTGCGGAATGAATTATCAGTGCTCGATGCTGTCTTCCGCCCCGCCGCTGGAAATGCAGCGGCCGTCGCCGCGCATGCGCTGGTGCGTCAGCCAGCCGTTGAAAGCAGTGCGGATCCGGCAGGCTTGGACGCGCGGCGGGAGCCACACCGATGTAGCCTCCAAGGTGGCCATCCACTCTAGGCAAGCGCGTTCCACTACTCGCAAGGTAGCTACTCGCAAATGGCCTGGATCCGCCATGGGGGATTTACCATATATGACATCGATGCAGACATACGTTATTCTCGAAATTTGCCAGTAGGCACCCTGCGAGTAGTGGAGCGCGCTCGGTGGCACCTGGGCGACCCTATGGCCGGGCGGCGTCGGCGAGCGCCGGCGGTCGACGCAGGCCCGGACGTGCGCTCTGGCAGGGCCTTCGCCACGAGGGTCGGGCAGCTCTCGCGCCCGGGCCTGGCCGCCCACCCGCTCCTGGACGGCATGGCCGCCACGGCGAAGCGCCGACGCTGCCGCGTGCAGATGGCGTTGCCGGGCTTCCACCCGACCCGCAGTCAGTCAGTGGAGCCGCGCCGCACGGCGCATCGGCGAAACAGCACGGGATTGAATTCGGCAGTTCTGGTACACAAGCTCTCAGAAGACGTATGGCATGGCATGGAAAGCATGGATGTCTGCGTGCCAGCTCCGGTGACCGGGGAGGTCCCCTAGAGGGCAGACCGTAGCCAAAGAGAGCAGCAAGTCTTGGGACAGCCACGGCCTCGTGCCAGCAGCGAGGGCGGCCTGCTGGGGCTGGCTCGTGGCCTGCCGAGGCCGCTCGGCGCGCCGCTGGACGGAGGGGCCCCCAAGGACAGAGCCCCCCACGTGCACCACGCGAGCCCGGGCAGCGGCAGGAGCCCACATGGCGTCCAGAACTCCTCGGGGAAATGGGATCCGTGCAGGGACTGCAGGAGACTTGCCGACATCCAGGACGTGGGCCCCGGGAACAGGGTCTCGCACACCTGGGCCGCAGCGTCCGCGAAGGAGGCGGGGAGCCGGAAGATGAAGGACAACTCCGGACTCCGGGGCAGTGAAGATCGAATCTGCGTCCAGCGCGTTCAAGCCCACGCGGCTCCAAAGCTTCGCTCTGGCCAAAAACGTGTCCAACGGAGCGCGCCAGGATAGTTCTCCGCGTCTCGGGCCCACTACAAAACCAAAGTATTTCGCTATGGAACTAATGTCGAGGATCTTCAGAACGTGTGTTAACGTTAACGTGCGTTTGTCCACCGAAGCCCTTCGAGAAGTTGCACGTTGTGTAAACTCACATTTGCGCGCGTCACAGAGCGTCTCGGCACGCTGGTGGATCGCAGGTGCCGCGCGCGAAGTTCAGTGCGGAATACGCGGTTGACTCAGAATAGATGGGCTGGAGAAACACGTGTCCCTCGTGCGTCGCGAGAGCCAAACTCTGCCACAAGCCGCGCCAAGAACTGACGGAACTGACGGAACCGACGGAACCAACGGGGGAATTCTGTTACTAAGGGAAACGTTACGTCGGTAACAACAAGTTACGTCAAATTCTCTCAACGACCGAAAACACGATGCTATTTCTACCTCAACTACCACCTTTACTGACAAAAGGCTTACGCCAATACCGGACAGTTGCGTCGGTCATGTGCACCAGATGTCGGCGGAGAGGAGCGATGGGGCAGGAGCGGGGAAGAGGAGGGAGGGGATTCAGGAGGTGGAGGAAACAAGAGGATGAGGACGGGAGGAGGAGCTGAGGGTAAATGCCCGAGCAGGGGCAAGGAGGCGAGCCGCACCGAAAAGACGACTCTTGCGGGGCGCCCTGACGGGGCCCTGCCAACACCTGCTTCTGCGCGCTGACGACTGCCAAGAGCTAAGAGCTGCGAGGCAGCGGCGGAGCTGAGGGAGGATAACACACATTATGAAGGGGCCCCAGGACACACAAATAAATACACACAAATACACAAATTCCAAATATTTTCATATATTTTCTGTGTTTTTTGTCTTCCCCCCCTTCCCATATTTTGCCATATTTTCTGGTGAATCGACAATTCATTGTGTCTGTGTGTTTTGTCCCTCCTGAATAACACACATTAGGCTAACACACGTTCGGGAGATCATCGATAATGTCCAGACCTCTCCACACCAGGACCTCGCGGTGCAAGCGCTCCCGGACGGCGTGGACGTCGAGTGGGGCCAGCGGCACGAGGGCCGACGTTCCGAGGCAGGCCCGAGATCGTCCCATCCTCGCCGAAAACAGCCTCCGGGGCAGTAGAGAAATGCTTCCGCACGCGCGGGTGTGCGAGCGCCGCGCCGTCCGCACACGCCCCGAGCGTGCCCCCCCAGGAGCCTTCGCAGCGCAGCGCAGAGCAATGAGCTTGGGGCCGCTGCGGACAGGAGCGGGGACAGCGCGGCAGCCTTGCCGGATGCCTCTACTGAAGGGGCCCCAGGACACACAAATAAATACACACAAATAAAATGATTCCCCATATTTTCCCATATTTTCTGGGTTTCTGTCTTCCCCCCACTTCCCATATTTTCCCATATTTTCTGGGGAATCGACGATTAATTGTGTCTGTGTGTTTTTGTTCCCTCCTGAGTGACGTCGAAGCCCTGGCGCCAGGCGCCCCCCAGAACGATGGCGCAGCGGCTCTGCGCGCACAGGGCCGCGATATGAAATTGAGCCATGGGACAACGAATTACCGGCACGATCACCGGGGCAACCACACGGACGACCGCCAGGGATACCTCGGGTCGGGCGAAAGGGGGGGATAGCAAAGGGGGGGGTTGAGAATCAGCTCACGTAGCTGATTTTCCCGGCGCCTCCCGGCGCCAGAGGGAGCCATGTATCGAGGAATGGGCCCCTCGGTGAGGCCGAAACCAGCTGCATGCAGCAGCAAATTTCGTAACCCACCCTTTCCCAATCCCCCCCCTTTCGTCCGGCCCGAGATACCATCGGGACACCCATCAGAACAAGCATCGAGGCAATTCTTGGGAGAGCCGTCGGGACAACCTTCAGGACAAGCGCTGCCACGTGTTCTGGCTTTCATGGGCTCCCCAGAAGTTCCCGGCGGTCCCCGCCCAAATCCGCCAGACACTTCGGACAAGAGAAGAAGAGACGACTGCATAAACATAAACAGTTATAGCTCCCCACCCAGATTTCTCGGATCTGCGCTGGACCCCCCTTCCCGGCGCGCGGACCGCGCCAGGGGCGGCGCCGGGGCGCGCCGCAGGGGAAGCCCAGCGCAGATCCAAGAAACAAGCGCGGAGCGCAACAGTCGATGGTCATGGAGCGCGTCCTTCTTTGAAGGCTCTCTGTCTCGGATCAGATGGCTCCAAGATGGCTCCAAGATGCGTCAGGAGGAGGAGGAGGAGGACGAGGCGGAGGAGGAGGAGGAGGAGGTGGTGGAGGAGGTGGAGGAGGCGGGGGAGGAGGAGGAGGACGAGGAGGAAGAGGAGAGGAAGAGGAGGAGGAGAAGGAGGAGGAGGAGGAGGAGGAGGAGGAGGAGGCGGAGGGGGACGCCGCGGAGGGGGACGCCGCTCGGAGCAGGCCTGCCCCCATCAAGGCTCCTCGCCGTGTGGCCCTCGGGCCGTGCCGGCAGCCGCTCAAGGCCGATGCCGCTCCGGACGGTGCCGGCGCCCCCGGAACACCCTCGGCGAGGCGCAGCCGTCGGAACGCACACCGAGGCTGGAAGACCCACGAGAGGGGAGGGACACGTTCGAATGCCTCGAGAGGAAAAAAAGGCTCACCTCGCAGGCGTCCCAAGGGGGGCGCGGGGGAGGCGGTGGTGGCTCGCCGGACGTGCGGCACCGCACGCAGAGGGCAGACGCGCGACGGCCCGCGCGCTTTCCTCGGTGCGCCGGCGCGCACTGCGAAGAAAAAGTGAACAAAAGCTTCGGCTATCTGGCCCCGCCCTCTGGCTCTTCTTCCACACTCCTCCCAATCGTCCCAGCTGCTCCTCCTCCTCCTCCTCCTCCTCCTCCTCCTCGTCCTCCTCCTCCTCCTCCTCCTCCTCCCCCTCATCCTGTTCCGCCTCCTCCTCCTCCTCCTCGAATTTCTGATCCTCGTCCTCCTCCTCCCCCTCATCCTTTTCCTTCTCCTCGTCGTGTTCTTCCTCCTCCTCCTCTTCTTCCTCCTTTCCCCCCCCCCCGCCCCCCCTTTCACTTCCCCCTCCTCTACCCCCATCCTGATTTCTCTTCCTCCTCCTTCCTCCTCTTCTTCCTCTTCCGAATACTTGGAATAAGGCTAGGGCCGGGCGGGGATATAAGAACTGGGACGATTGAAGAGTCAGGAAAAGGGTGATGACCTGAACAAAGCTCGCTCGAGACCCCGTGTCCCCCCTCCCCCCTCCTGCTGCGGCGGGCGCCTGGGTCGGGCACATCCTTGCGGGCAGTTGGAGCCACCCGCGTTCTCCGAGTATAGCAGCCCAGCAACATCGTGGTGCCATCGGCGAACGGGTCGTCGTGTTTTCCAGTCCTCAAAATAAACCAACGAACACGCGCGCAAAGGGCGGGCAGAGCTCGGCTTGCTTCTGAGGATCGTCCTCAGTAGCCATGGCGGACTCGTGGTAATCGTTGCCTCGCTGCATCAGTGCCGCGGCCGCTGGCGACGACGCGCCCGCGAGAAGAGACCACCCAGAGCACGCCTGTGATCTCGCGAATCTCGGCCGCTCTTGTGAGCGACACATTGGCAAGAAGGATGAGTAATTAATTTGGTCACCGCGTTGTCTCTACCCGCATCTGCGCCCAGCAGGTCGGCGACGAAGCGGCGCGCCATCTGCCGCGGTTCGCCGTCTGCCGCGCGAGCCAGCCACCAAAGCGGTGCCGCCATGAGTCACGAGAGAGGGCAATTCGACAGAACATAGACAGCGACCGTCACCGCAACGAGCGCACGGCGGGGCGCAGAATCAGAATGAAGCGGACAGCGACAGGAGCTGACAATGGACAGAGCGCAGCCAAGAAGAGGAACGCCGGCAAGGCCACTGAACGCCAGGACGATAAGAAGAAAGCCTGAGATCACCTGGACAACCAGCGACAAAAAAATGAAGGATGACGGACAGGAACTCGAATTGCGGGTGACATGGGCGAAAACTAAAAGACATGGCGGCAATGCTAGCGTGAGAGATAGCAGAAGGCATGTCATTTCCCTCCGCTACGTATGTATTAAGCCGCGTTCACGCTGTAAGCCAGAATGTCACCGGGCGCGAAAGCGCGTTCCTATTCGAGTGCTTAGGGGCTACTGGGCGATGGGGAGCTCCCATCCGATTCAATTCGGCCACAGAGGGCCGACCACGTCGAGGTGCCAGAGCATTCGCTGCGTGGCCGCGGCAGTGGGCGCTCGGCACAACTCACCCTTGGCTCAGGAGCCTCAGCCCAAACAGGACGTCGTGGACTCGTGGGGCGCCCCGTTGGTTCACCAATCGTCAACTTGTGCGCGGAATGAGCTGGCCACAACTCGGGTCGCGAATCAAAACGGCACCCCGCAGCAGGGCGATGTAAAAACAGACACATTCTTCCGAGGTGGCGTCGACCGGCCGATGCTGTCTCACAGCCGAGAGCAGGGTGCTGCTTGCGGGAACGCCGTGCAGATCGCGATCGACGCGCGCGCGGGTCGCAGCCCTGGTCGCACCTTGTTGGAGTAACGCCTTGCCAGCGTGGCCCTCCTCCTCCTCCTTCTCCTCCTCCTCTTCCTCCTCCTCCTCCTCCACCTCCTCCTCCTCGTCCTCCTCCTCGTCCTCCTCCTCGTCCACCTCCTCGTCCTCCTCCTCCTCCTCCTCCTCCTTTCCCCTTCCCTCCTCCCCCTCCCTCCCCCTCCCCCCTCCCCCTCCCCCTCCCCCTCCTCCTCCCTCCTCCTGCTCCTCCTTCCTCTCCTCCTTCTCCTTCTCCTTCTCCTTCTCCTCCTCCTCCTCCTCCTCCTCCTCTCCTCCTCCTCCCTTCTTCTTCTCCTTCTCCTTCTCCTTCCCCTTGTCCACCCCCCTGCCTCCCTCCACCCCTCCCTCCCCTCCCTCCCTCCTCCCTTCCTCCGTCCTCCGTCCTCCGTCCTCCGTCCCTCCCTCCTCCCTCCTCCCTCCCTCCTCCTCCCATCCCTCCTCCCTCCTCCTTCTCCCATTCCCCTCCTCCTCATCCTCCCTCCCCTCCCCTCCCCTCCCCTCCCCCTCCCCTCCTCCTCCCCCCTCCCCCTCCCCCTCCCCCTCCCCCTCCTCCTCCTCCTTCTCCTCCTCCTTCTTCTTCTTCTTCTTATTATTATTATTATTAGTAGTAGTATTATTATTATTAGTATTATTATTCTCATGTTTGTTATTAGTATTCGTATTATTCGTCATCGTTTTATTATTATTATTAGTATTATTATTATTAGTATTATTATTGATATTTTTATCATTAGTATGCTTCGTCTTATTTTCTTCATATTCGTAATATGGGTC